CCCGCGTCTTCCGCTCCCCGCATCCGGTCTACGCCCCGCTCCCCTTCTTTGCTCCCCACTCCCCTCCTTGACCCCACCCCTGCTCCTCCATATCCCTCTTGCTCTCCCACCCCATGCCTCCCATTCCGACCGTCTTGCCTCGATCCGAAAAGTGATGGCTCGCTCCTGGGAAGAAGCGGCGCGTTTGGACGCCTTGGAGATTCAAGGTGCTGCGTGACAAAAGCATTCAACCAGCACTCAGCACAACTTTCTTCCAGAGGACAGTTTAATGTTACTAGCGCTGCCGTCATCGCAGATGTAGTGACTTCACACTTCAAAGGGGGAGTTGAATTTAGCCACACCGTTATGCACTTTTTCATGGTATGACATTCTCAATGATCACCGACGGTACTAGGTGATCGCTCGGTGCCTCGAAAATCAAGGGGACCCGAAAATGTGGTTCATGAAAAAAAATAGTATTAAAAGAAAAGCAATAGAATTCTTATCTGATGTTGAAAGTGGCGATGAAGAAATCCATTATTGTATAAATTTCCAATTAATTTTATATTCCGTGAGTCATCGATCTTAAGTAAGTAAAATAAGAAATGTAATTGAAAAGGACATGCAATAACTTTTTTAAATTCAAATATTTTTTTAATTTTCAAAAGGGAATGAAATGGTCATTAAATTTGTTTTAAACGAACTATTTAATAAAAATGAATGTCAATAATTCTCATACGTTACTGATACAAAACTAAAAATATATCGACGTTAACTTTAAAATAGGTAAAAAACTAATTTTAATTCAACGAGGAAAAGTATTTTGAATAATAAATAATTCAGGTTAAACTGGCGGCATTCAGCAACAACAATGCTGATGAATACACACAAAACTATTTTCAAAAGTAGCACGCACGCTGCTTAAAAATAACAAGTAAAATACTCTCATATAACATTGCAATATATTAAATATTTTAACAAAAACAGACCACGAATTTTGCTACAACACAGTGTATATGTAGAATACAAACATATAACAATTCTCTTCAATCCAAGAATTCCAAAAAAGTTGCTGTTTCACAACGCAATACGTAAATAGCAAATTGTTAATGGCGGGTCACTGACCTTCGTTACGCTCACACGCACGTTACACTCACATAGGAAGTAGGAACATTATCGCAGATAATCTCAGCAGACTGCAGTATTCATCAGCAACCATGGAAGTGGAAGTGTCGTTATGGGATGAATGCGTTAAATTTTGCGATTGCCGCCATTTTAGAAATGTAGATCGATAATTTAAGAAGATTTTTAAGACATTTTTGAAATGGGAATCAGAACAGGACCATGAGTTGTTCTGGAAAGTCCAGAAGTATGCAGATAATTTTAAAATGACCTGGTGCTCTACAAAGCTCGTAAGGACCCAGATATATTCAGGCCATGGATTCCAGCTGCGATCACGGATAGACTAGTCACCTTCTTGCACGAAAGCCACGGACACTTTGAGGGCGATAAGATATTCAAACACTGGCGTATTACGGCCCGCGAAACCCGTTACGAGTCGAGATTACCTGACAGCAAACTAAGTTTCCGAACCGCCTCTACAAGGCGCAATGCATCACGTCATTGCCACGGCACCGAACGGCAGAATGTCTCGATTTATTTGAACCTGTGCTCGATTCGGATATAAGCATGCAACTGTCATTATCGACACCATGGTTTTCAAAATTTATGTAGGAGTACCTGATGACGAAGACCACAGCTCAAAACTGTTCGAAAATACCCACACAATACTATTTCAAGATAGTCGGCCAATGTATGACGGTATTAAGTGCAACTAATCATACAACCCCGCTCACGGGGCACGCATGGGACCCAACATTAGAATCCATAAGCGTCTAAACAACTTTCTGCTCAACGAGGCATCCTCAGAGCAACATTAGTAAGCGATGTGAAGTGTTTTAAACCAAAAATCAAGAACTTATAGTTTGTATTAATTATTTTAATTAATAAACAGTATTATAAATAATAATACGGTAACTTCGTTATTATAAACTTGTAGAGCGTGTCTTGCTCAGATCAGGAGAATACGTCCGTCATGAGATATGTCATATCTGTAACTAATAAACATTTTATTGGTATACGTGGAAATAACTATTAAATATTGTTGTGGAAAGTAAATATTGTGTGGAATGGCTCCATTGTACTTGGAAAAAATATATATTGAGTCGAATGGCTCCATTGTAATGGAACATCAGGACATGATGTATGCGTGAGCTAACAAGGTTATGCCAGGTGTATGAGTCAGAACAGTATAAAGCGTGACCGAATGTACTCCCATATGTTAAAAGAAGATTAATAACATACCATATGATTCGATGGGGATGCCTCTCTAACGTGCCTTTCGTTAAGATGACACCATCTGACTTTCTCTTGCTGTCACAACTGGCCACGAACCACACTCCAATCTATGAAGAATCCATATTTTTCTCATTTCTAATTGTTGATGGGTAAATTTGGACATATGTGTTCTTATAATGTGTTTCAAAATATGATTGGTTTCATTTTTATTACTTTTTATTTATTTAAAATTTGTGTTACAGCTTTTGTATACCTGATGATGGGAATGGTAAATTCGTGAAACGCTGGGTACCTAACGTCATTTTCATACACAATGGAATAAACAAAAATAAATTATTCTTGAACCTTAATTAATATCTTTAAAGAAGAAAGAATACTTATAATTTTCTTGAGCACAATTAAAGTTCGTTGCAGATCTAGTAGGCTAGTCACTTAAATGTGTCGTTCCACTTTACCAAAGTAATGCCTGGAATGATGCTAAAGAGTTTGATATCCGTTAGGAACTCTTGTACCTTTCAAAAAATACTGCATTTTATACTTCTTTTTTATTACATTTCTTTTGAATTGTGTGTGTGATTGGTTTCGTGACTATTGCCGTGTGTGTTGGTTTCATGACAAAGTGTAGTAGTTACTAAATTAATGAATTAAAAATAAATATACAGTCATACGTTTACGTCTTTTGCGTCCCTCTGTTCTCGAGGATTCGGTATGTAGTAAGTTTTAATCGACAATTTACACCATTTACACTGTCCCTGTAGTTGTCTCCTTACGACAGAGTGTAAGACCAGATCCTGGCGGACACTTCCTATGATCCATTAAGTGATTCGTGATATTATTCATCGGTTCATGCACTTGGTGGCACAATTCAACAACGAGGTTCAGACCTCCGGGCAGCGCAGGCCGCCTGGCGGAGTTCTGTGCCGCAGATCCTAAATCTAAATGTAGAGGGAGTTCTTCTATTGATTTCATTGCATTGCGACCGTGCATCCTATGGATGTTTAGAAATTTCACACCATTTACTTTGGTGGGTGGATATTTAATAGGGGAAATCTGCACTTTTCAAACAAAGACAAACTCACCCACATATTCAAGTGCGCGATTCATTACTTTTCTTGTAATGTTATAGTTAATGCACTACTGTTTTTTTTTGTCACACAAGAACCACAAATCGAATCACTTCATAGTTTTTAATGTCTCTATATCTCGTTGTAGTAACTAAATTACTGGCAGCGGCGCCAATGATCATAAGAGACTGAAACAACTCGTGAACTTGGAATAAATTGTGAGAGAAGTTTATCGCAGTGTAATCCGCATATGAATATCTTGAGAATGAATGTTCGGAGGTTTATAGGAATGAACGAGCTCGTCACTCTCGGACGCGTTTTCAAAGCATGACCTTTGTCTCGGAAGTTAGTTGTGGTTTGTCAACTGTTGAGGTCTTGAGAAACAGAAGGTGGAGTGATGGTCGGGATGATTCAACAAGGATAGATATTTGGGCATTTTCAAGCTTTGCAGCCCAACGCTCAGGGCGTGCAAGACATGTGGAATAATGAGAGGGAATTTTGAAAGTGTTAGACATAATATTCAAATGTACCTTACCTAATCAAGAAATTAAAGAATACGCACAAGTTGATGAGCATTATTGAAAGGAATTCTAAAAATATAAGGTTCGAAATTCTCCACAATTGCACTATATCACTTCACCGAAACTATTTTGTTCATCTTTTAGGTGTTGTTCTCATCTTGTATTACTGTCATAATGTACACGATCCTTGGCAAACCAGATGCAAATTACGTTTGCGTCCGGTTGACTGAAGCACGCTGCGTCGTGGGTTGGTGTTCCGGACATCCTCCTTTGGCCTTCTTCAGGGCTGAGATGCTTGGTCTGCGTGACTTGTAGTAGCCGGGGGTACACACGACACCATCCACAGGAACCTACAATTTTAAAATTCAAATTAGCGTTTCTCTTATTGGTATTTCCTTTAACACAGTACTGCATACACCAGGCGCTTAGAGACCTTGCAGCAGGGGCGCGCATGCTGGTACCTTCTGCCATCCCACCTGGGTATAGTCTAATAAATAACATTGGTCCACACACTGAAGAAGACTATTCTCATTCGCTGCCTAACCGAAGTTTTCGGAAAACCCAACAGCAGTCGCACGCAGGCGCCTCTTTGGCTCGCAGCTGGCGGACGCCTGCTGCGCGTAGCTCGCTGTTTCATGGAACTAAGGAGGCAGGACCTGCACTTGCAGTATCACGGGATGACGACGAAATGGTCTATCGTGTTCTGCCTTGATTTCTTCAGTGATTATTAAGTTTGTATACGGTTCGTGTGAAAAATCGCAGGCAAACTGAAAGTAACACTGAAATATCATTAATATTTCCCCCTAGCGAGGAATTGAACAACCCTCAGACTACTCACAGCTCATCGCTCGCCATTGCCTCCGAACTGCGTTATCTGACGATCTACTCACGATCCACAGGCCTGACAAAAGCTTAATTAACTCTCTTTGTGTACAACACATACACGCTTGGTATTAGCGCAACGTGTAAATATTTTTATATTTTGTAATGCTTTTCAATTATGTATTATTTACTATTTACGTATTTTGACCCTTTTTGGCAATTATGATAGTATATTTATTAAACAAACAAATTTATATAAAAACCTTGGTTATCTTTCGTAGTATTCACTGAATATAATTTTAGTGCCTTGTCTATTCAACAAACAGCTGTAGCAGCGACGAGTGCCTAAAGCTTGTTCGTATGGTTCCATTGTTTGTCGGAAGTAACTAAGGTTGCATGAACGAAAGTTTCAAGCTAAAATTATATCGTGTAAAATTGTAAATTTCGTTTATTTTTAAATAACTTGCAGTTAGTTTCGGCAGCTAAAACTGTGACGACATATGACCTTATCATTACGGAAAGAGAATAAATTCGGGTTTCGCAATGGTAGGACAGACGTAGAACAAGTGGAAGAGAAGAGGGTTTGGTGTCCGGGGCCACTGCCGCGGAATATTCCAAGTTCACAAGCACAAAGTATACTATGGGCTGAAAATTAGGCGGCTCAAGATAGCATTATGCGCTCCCATTCGGTGTCCGCAACGGCGCCCCCTCCCCCTGATACTGTCTTCGATCTATTACGCGTGAGGGCGCCGGGGCGTGTGAGGGCGTTCGGGCGCCGTTTTGCGTCTTTGACGGGCGCCGCTGGGTGCGACCCTCGAAGATTCCGATGTGGAACTCTCGTGGCGCGGATATTGCTACGTGCAGAGGAGAAAACGGGCGTGGGGAGAGGAAAGACCGGGGAGATGTGCCCATAGGAGATCGCTAGATTGATTTCTGCTGGTCTCTGAACGAGAATTCTAGCTATCTGCCCTGATATGTAGTTTTCCGTAGTTCCTCAGTCAACACTAAGCGAATACTGGAGAAGTAACTAAACAAGTGGGCGTAGCGCGCTATCATCGCCTTCCTCTTCATCGTCCTATCCTAAACCTTACACACACACACACACACACACACACACACACACACACACACATTCATGAACTTCATTGCCACAGGAGACGAAGTGTGAGCTTAGAGCATGTCCTGGTTGAGACAGTGCGGCGATGAGGGAATACTTGTAGTGAAAAAACCCGCAGGCTGATGTGTAGGTCGGCGCCATATACCACGTTCCAGCGGGGGAGGAGGTGTGGATTTTAATGAAATGCATTTTGTTTGTTCTCACTTTAGAACAATTCAGTTTAGTATTGAAATTAATTTTATGTTAAGACAAAAGGAAATGACCCATTTTTATCGGTAATTTCTTTTGCATTTTTCTTTGATATCGACTAATAAGTCGTTTTTTACTTTTTTACGTACTTAAAATTTTTTGTTCGTTTTATTTTTTAAATATTATTTTAATGGTACTTCAAACAATATTTACGAGAGGAAACAAATGTTCACCATAAAATTCTGAGTAGCCTATTAGATTTCTTCGCTCGTATATAGTAATGTCAGCCGTTGTGAGTACTATGTAATCTAAAGTTCCTGTTACTCCTATCGGCGCCATTGACAGTTCGGGCAGATATTTTCTTTTAAAGACCATTCCAAATAAAAAAAATTGCAAGATGAGTTCACTTGAAGAAAAAGAAGAAGCCTAGATTGTTGCCTATCAGCAACATATCCAACAGCTTGAATTATTTGTCGTAGTTTTGATTAAATGTTTTACGCAATTTTTCTTTGTTTTGGGGTGAATTTTTAAAACATTTTAAGAGCTCTTTATTGATAATTTTCAGCAATGTTGTAGGCCATCAAAACGCGCCTCCTACTAATGAGGCCAGTTGTTGACCCGGGTCGCTGCCCTCAGCACTTACTTTCGGAGCGCGTCGTGGTCGCGGTCAGTGTGCGGGGAAGAGCGCGCGCTGGGCCAGCAGGGCCTCGAGGCGGCGGCGCGCGGCGGGCGCGGGCGGGGGCGGCGCCGGGGGCGGGGCCGGGGCCGGGGGCGGGGCGGCGCGGAGGCCCGCGCTCATCACGCGGTGCAGGCGCACGCCCTGCACGGCGCGCGGCTGCAGCCGCTCCAGCCGCCCCAGCTCCCGCAGCAGCTGCTCGCGCATGCGCAGGCGCGCCAGGTGCACGCGCTGCCGGCACGCCTCCGCGCTGCAACGGGACAAATTGCAACTATTATTCGCGTATGGACCCCAACTGACCACGCATCAGCCTTAAGGCAGCATCCCTCGTTTAAGACAGGCTCACTATCAATAGGGAGCAATCGCGCTACGCACTGTGCCACTTCGCTCTCTCTCTCTCCTCTCTCTCTTTCTCTCTCTCTATTTATGTGTGTGTGTGTGTGTGTGTGTGTGTGTGTGTGTGTGTGCGCGCGCGCCAAATGCTACACGCAACTCTCTCGGAAGGATTTTTGTGAATCTATGTCTTTAAAAAAATTAAAAAAACGAAGCGTTCTAGGGCATTAAAAACTAAACTTTTGAAACGTTTCTCACACCACAATCTACAGAGAGAGATATTTTTAAACATTGAGAGCTGACATTTGGGTAAGAGGGGGAAGACGAAGAGAGAGAAAGAGAGATGAGGAGCAGAACAATGTTTGCCGGGTTCTGCAGGTTATATGTAAGCTAAATTAATACTTGCATTTAGCGATAGATCACAACCATTCTTTTTGTTTGTTCAGGTATGTCAAGAACATATATGTTTTGAACATTTTCTGTATATGCGGTCCTTTCCAAAGAGGCACCGATGTTCTCTTATTGTTCTTTTTTAAGAACTAGCTCAACCTTCACTATGATGCTCCGATTTCACCTCTGTTCTCTACATCGACTGATTCTAAAACAAGATTTAAACGGATTATCCCGGCAGGGCTGACTCCATGATACCTAGATCAATCAATTCATTGTTCCTCCAGTAGAAGGGTGCGAGATAGAGATCTGTTGCTTCCAGTACCTTCCTGTATTGTCTCTAGATGTATTACTGCACCATAAACGATGTCATTTTCCTAATCGGTTTTGGGAGTAAATCTGTTGAGAAGTGGCGGTTCGTGCTTAGGTTGCAGGGTTGCACAACAGCCAGATAATCGAAAAATATTTTTTCATGTTAGGAATATACATTATCGGTTTAATGATATACGATATTCATGATATTGGAACAATATCGACTGGAGGAAATACTTGTAGTCAAATCCCCCACAGGCTCTGTGTGGGTCTTGTAAAAACTTGAAAGCTAGCTACACACACAGCATTTACAAGTTTGCAAGCTTCCACGTTTGCGTGAACGTGCCGCGTGTCGTGTCGTGAAGCGTTAACGTGTCGTGAAGCTCAGAAACAGCACTGATTGTTTAGTTTCCCCGCAGACAGTGCAGTTCATAAGAACATATCCTGCGTTTGTAACCCCATCGTTGATGGATCGCTGTATAAAATCGCCCATTGCGCAAGAAAACAGATTTCAGAAAACAGACAAATTCTACCAAGAATTCGTTCATTTTTCTTAGTCTCATGTAATTATAATTGAATTCAGTATCAAATAATAATTGTCGAATGTCTTAAATCACGGGGCCTGCTGAAACTTGATAGTCATTGCAGATTTGGTTGTTCACGCAATAACTAATCCAAAGTTCTTCGGTTCATGGCGGAAGTAGTCTTCTGGTCCTTTTCGGAAACGTTAAATGCAAGTTCAGAGGTGGGAGACTCACAAAAGAAAAACATGAGTGGGAGCTAGTGCCAGTGCCAATGCCAGTGCCAGTCTAGTTCTGTTAATCCCATGATGACTCTCATTCAACCATATGTCTGACTCATGTTGTCATCAGATTTGAGCATCATCCGTAGCCATAATTTTCACCAACAACATAGATTAGACTGTAAGGATGTTGCGTAAAGACCAAAAGATCTCTGTGAGCCATTTGTTAATTTTGCTGCTCTGCTTTCTTAGTACCAGACACTGCGTCTGTTTAGACCTGTGGTCGCGATACACATTAGTCACGAACCAAGTTATAATTTCCAGCAGGAAAGCCATCTTCAAATTTTGCTCAAAGTCGTCTTTTTAGCTTCGGTTTCTTTTACATGCCACTTATGTGCGTATTAATCTGATATTGGTTTACTTTGCATTCTAAAAAATGAATTAAGTACGTATCTCAGTAAAATTAGCTGAATTTATTTATTTATGAGTGTGGTAATTAGGCATTTATAAGTCAATGTTTCATGAAAGTAATAAATCATCGTAGTTCATACTTTGAATATAGTATTCTGCAAACAGAAGAAGTTGCACTAACGATATTATGTTGCATCGCACGTTACGTAGTTTTGTAGAGAAGTGCTTTTTTATGAAAGAAAAAAATGAGTTAATGGTAAATATCCACAAAATTTTAATTGTCTTCTTAAATTTTGGTTGCTTCCGTAACCATTTAAAATTTGAAGCAGCTTCAGTTTTATTCAAAGAATTTGGTGCATAGCAAGTGTACGTGTTAGAACTGCTTTTGAGCTCCACTCTAATGAAAACTAGTGGTGATTAATAGCACATACTTTCTCGCATTATTTACTACGCACTATTATATTACTGTATGAACCTGCAAAAGCGTTTCCATCCTGCAAACGTTTTTGTCCGTTACGAAATCCGTACTAATGTCCTTCGAGATAACACGACAGGCACTTTATCGCAACACCACGAGTCGCATACTGAACTCAACATTCTCGACTCTTAAAAAACAACTGATTTCTGGCATTATTTTTTACTTAATCTTTGAAAATTCTGAGTTAAACGAAAATGAGACTTACGCCATTTATGAAGTGTCCTTTGCTCCATCGGAGAAAAAAGTTAAAGAAAAAAGTGGGAGCCGTTTTTGAGATTTGTTCTTAATTGCATCAACTTATACAATAAATTTAGAGAAAACTACTTGTTTTTTCAAAACCTTGTACTTGACCTTTTCTAAACATTTTATGTATCAGACCGTTTTTAAAGATCTCATTCATTAAAAAATATATTATTTAAGAAAAAAAATCAATTATCAATATTATTCTTTTAAAATATTAATTTTATGCTATTTTCAGAAATATAGTTCCCCAAAAAACTTAATTTTTACCATTTTTACCGAAAAAGTAGAGAAACAATTTGAGTCGTTTTGAGGACATAATTGTTTTAATAAAAAATATTTACATTTCGCACAAAATCACACGAACTACTAACGTTTTCGAAAAATTATAAATTGTACAAAACTATACCGGCAGGCAAACGTTTTGCCGTCAATTCATTTTCCGGTATCAAGGTCCCACAAAACGTGAATTCTGACTGCACAGCGTTTTAGACGGTGTAATGTATTACATGTAGGAACAAGATTTATCCATTTTTTCGTTGCTAAAGTCCGACAATACGAATTTTTCTGGTGATAGTCGCCAATTTCTGCCGGTATTACAATATTCACTCACACTGAAAAATTGCAAAACATCTTTTAAAGTTCTGATATTGAAGGGTAGATTACATTGAGAAAGACATTTCTGGCTTTAATACTACAATGTCGGACAGGTTCGAAAATAAATTTGAATTTTGAATGTTTCAAAATTTAAAAAAGGTTGTAAAGTGAGTTTTTCATTCAGTGACATTTCTACTGTAATTTTTAGTACAAAGGATATTTATCAAACGTACGTAGGCTAGACAAAACACTTATTGATCATTCAGAACACATTTAAGGCAAAAAATCTTGAAAAATGACTAATATCGAATTTAATCGAAATCACCGCCGTAAAAGCAAATCAGGAGCATTATGTCGTTGATTTTGCTTCATTTTAGAACAAAATGAAGCACTTGATCTTATAAAACAATATTATTAAAATATAAAAAACAAATATTATCAAACAAGACTATAGAAAATTAGTATAGCATTATAAAATGTACGATTTAGCATCTGTTGAGAAAATTATTATTAATGGTTAGAAATTATCAATTTTGAGATAAAAAAAATATTTGAATGCTTTTCAGATTGTCCCATTAAAATCAGTAAATCAGGGAAACAAATTTAATATTTCGCCATTTGTGAGCTTAAAAAAATATATAAAAGCGTAAGAAACCTAAAAATTGACGCGTGCCCCGAAGTCGATCTCCGACGCTTCTCGTGACCTACTTCGTATTGCGAACTGACGAAGCTGAGATTCCTTGAGATGAATGAACCTGGTCGCTCGGACTTTCGGGATCAGTTCTTGTTATTTTACTTATTATTGTTGTTATATTACTTCTTATTGTTATTATTTTTACTGTGTATTGTCAGTTAAATCTTTAATTATAAATTAATAAGCACAGCCACTGAAATTAGTCATTGTCAAAAATCGATGTTTTGTCGTTGTCGCATCCCTAGTTAGAGAGCGAACACGCAGGAAACCATAAAATGCAATTTAGCAATTATATTGTAGATACACAACCATTTAAAATTTTGTACGGTATTTCGCATTTTATCTCATATTGCAAACCTTCAAAAATATACTGAACCGACCGACAAACAAAAAATTACTCATTTTTTCAGCGTGTGATAACATTTCTTATTTTTAACTAAAATCTAAATCTAAAATCTATTGCTAAAAATCTACCGTCTCTAAGTATTATTACTCATAGCTACTACGTAGATTTGTACTAGTTTTGCGAGAAAATGTTTTATTATCGCGCTACATTTTGCCCTTCGAATTTTGCAAAGAATTAACCACTTTTCTTAAAAAAACACCGTACCTAGATTTTCTAAGACAAGAAAACTAGATGCGCTGTAGGAAACGATGGTTCAGTAGGTTCAAAACTAAGATATTCTTAAGGATTTCACTTGCTTTTCTATTTTGTAAAGGAAACGTTCGATTTAAAAACATACTTCTATACGTCGTCAAAATATTGACCATTGTTCCATGGTGGGTTGCGTGACAACGAAAGATCTTTCAACTTCTCCCGAAATATTCTCTCATTCCGGGAACCAAAAGAACAGGGAACTTCAACATACTACTTTTACATATCAGAAACATTAAAAAAATATATTTCATGAGAACGGGATTACTAAAGAAACTGCTTTTAAGAATGAAAGGATGCTTCCAACACATTTGTCACAAAAAAATATCGTATTTTTACTACCCAAATATCCCTCATAAACAATTCCGCTTAACAATTAAGTATAAGTGACCATAGCTTGGTAATAAACTGCAATCATCTATACAGATCGATGATTTAGTTTTCACATATTGTATGCCAATAATTCATAGTTTCGAGAAAAACAAATTGGAACGTTTATATTGGTGCAGGTACTTACGGAGCCACAAAGTTTGCTTTCTCCCAAAAACTTGATGTTTCGTGTATGGACAAACAATCTCATGTCATAAGGAGATATGTTCGAGAGGTCACCAAAAATGATATTAACCCAAAAGTTACCATGAGTGGACATAAAATATTTGTGCCCTAAGGCATTGATATTAAAAATTTAACATTTTCATAATCAATAAGAAAATATTAGGTATTTTGAAGAATTAAAATACGTATAGGAAATGTTGCAATGTTCTATTGCATCTATCATTATTTATGTCGTTTCGACTTCAAAAACAAAAATGGAATACGAGTATGTCATTTATTGTTAAAGTCAGTGTCATTCTTTAAAGGCGGGTCAACCAGGGGCAAATTCAGGAAGTATGTCAGGACGTGGTGAAGGTATTTCAATTCAGACACAGTTTACCCACGATTGTTTTGAAATAACAATAAAGTCTAGATTGAAATTTAAAAAAACGTATTCAGAACTGAAATAATCCTTTGGAATGCGATGCCATTAATAATTGGTAATTTTATAGTGTAAAATAAGTAAAATCTCAAAAATTGTTGCATTTTTTAGCCCCTTCCTCATGTGTTCTTTCTCCCTGGATCTGCAACCGGAGTCAATCGCATCACAATAAAGTGAGCATTTCATGAACTATTTTTATTTTATAGGAATTAATAACCGTTTAATATTAATATTCCAGTTTACATTAAACATAAACATTTTTCATTACGACGCTTCTATATCAAATTTCTAAAATGTATCCAGTGTAGTACTCAATAAACTAACCTCACTATACCTTGGGGGAGCAAAATGTGATGTGGGGAAGGATGTAAGTTATGAAAGATTTGAAATTGGATGAGGAAATGTCGGAGGAAAATTATACATACTGATGCATACTAACAATTACAGTGTACTTGATGCGACTTAGTAATGTTCTGGGCTTTGTGGAAAGTTACAAGCACGCTTTCACGAACCTTGTTTCCAATGCTTAATGCTTCGAACGCACGTCGCGGAGCGAGCTAATAATGAATGACGCGGCGCGGCGCGGCGAGCGCTACTACTTACTATGCGTTGCCCTGAGGCGGCGCCGAGTGCGCGTGGCGGAGGGGGCGTGGCGGGGGGCCGCTCCCACACGCCCCCGCCCGGCTCCCGCCGCCCATGGGGCGATTGTTACGTCACGCGCCGCCCGGGGCGAGCAAAAGCTGGGCTGGGCGTGCGGGCTCTTCGATTTCCACGGAGGCTCCTTTCGATTCGATCAATACGTATGGGCGGTCGTTTATGAAACTATGGATCCGCATCCGCGGGGGGCCGGGCCAGGCCGGGCCGCGGGCGCGGCCTCAAGGCGTCGGCGGGCGATGGGCGATGGGCGATAGGCGGGCGCGGACCCCGCCGCCCACGCGCGCGCGTCACCCGGGGCGCACTGTCGGCGGCGACGAGGCCTGCCGGCGGCGGGGAAGGCGGGGGCGGCGGCGGTGGGGGCGGTGAGGGCGCGGTGGATGGAAGGGGGTGCGCCCTGCCTGGCGGGGCAGGGACGAGTCGAGACGAGGTGGGGGTGTGGAAGAATCCACTCTCTTTATAATACGCTAAGCGACGATGTGGGTTTTGTGCCTTTTATAAGAATCCATGCAAAGCCCTGGAAGTGTGGTACAGCTGGAAAGGGAATTACCACTTCAGTTCTGCGTGAAACACATTAAAGACGGAAATTAGTTGGAATGCGTGGCATGCCAAAACTTTTTCTCCTCTTAGTTTTAAAATCAGTCAGGTTTTTCAAAAAGTGCATGTTATCATTTAAAGATTTGCAACTGAATGAAGTCATGCAGAAAACATTCAAGTCACAAGAATCAATACGGGTGAAAAATGGCTGAGAACACAAGGACATATCTTAAAATTTCGAGCAGCAAGGATGCACACCGAAAATTATTTTTGTGGGGTATCTGTTTACAAAAGTTAGAGATGATCTTCATATTCACTGTGAAGAAAGAGAAAAACTCAAAAACATAGTTTCACGTCGTTCAGTATTAAGTCTCGAAGACTAATGAATTGAGGGAGGTGTACAGAATTTGTATTCTGGAACAATACAATTACAATTCACGGTGAACACAGTTAAACCTGTTTTTGTATATGTAATTAATATTTTTTATATTTACCAAGATATCCACGTGTATGTTGAAGTAACCTATGCCAAAGAAATCCTTTTGTTCCCCTTAACTTAAAATCTAATGTTCCATATGTAATTACAATCACTAAAATGTTTTGTAAAAGTACACACCCGTCTGATAATTGCTAAACATTGCATTGCCCGTCATCACCATTCTTTATATCTTAAAGCACTCAATATTCGATCTTAAAATATTCGATTCATATATTATAATTTTTGTGTAACCTCTTGTGCACACACGCGTGCTTGCTACAAACACGATAAGTGTTCATTCTATAAAGTTTACGATTTTATAAAAATTTATTGTTTATACTGTAAAACAAATTAATAAACTGGATAGCAAGCAATAAGAGATCTAGGGCCACTCCCTTTCATTTTAAGCAAAAATCACAAAATGGGTAGAAAGCTCAAATTTCTTTCTGAACGAAATCCCTAAGCTTTGAAACATAAAGATTTTTGCAATTTTCTAAATGTCACTGTTTTTAATGAAAATCAAAAATAAATCATAAATATAAAGGCAGTTTCGTAGTTTAGAGAGAAAAATAATCAAGAACAGATAATTTTGAAAATGTCACAGGAATGTGAGATAAACTACCTTCTGAAATTAAAATATCTTAATGATCTTCGAAACGAACATCTAGACCTTACTCCTGACGTATTATCCTGTTTCACCTCAAAAGCTTTTTATCTGAAAGAGTTATGCGTGTCACGTGACACGTTTATCCATCGACTGACAAACATCACTATTTTATGTTACAAAATTGTGTGTATCTCTTCTTCACCTACACCGATCTTAACCAACCATGTTTGGAATAGCGCTAATGGACGTTACTCCTGGCGTGAGTGCAGATTCAGCACTATCTTAAATGCGGATAAAAATATGCGGCCTACGAAAGTTTGCAGATGAAGAAGGTACGAGAAGGAAACGTGAAAGCGTATTTGCAACTCGTATTACCACTCTACACGCAACCCACATTACGATACTATAATGTTCAAAAATAGAAATGAAATACAAATAACAATCGTTTATTTAGCATGATTTTATAATAATCAAAATCAAAATTGTACCGTAACAAGACAGTTTACCAGATTTGAAAGAGAAAATACCAAATCCGTAGCACAGTCTTTGTAACCAGTGTACGTTGCAAATCACAGCACATCTCACAACTCTTCCACTCAACCACACACGGCACTGGACATGTGGGCAGTAGACACTTCAATCCAAGCTCGAGTTCTCACCATTCCCGAAAGCGTACTATAGCTCTCCCAGTCCTTTATAAGATGTGTTTCACGTAAGATATGACCCGCAATACCAACCTCTCGTAAACCACCCGCCTTACTTACTACTTTGGCTTAGGGACTTCCGATTACAATTTAAGTTGAAGGACTTTTTTCAACTGGAGATTGGCATGCGTCGTACAAAATAACTTTGTGCCACCTTATAGTCAGGGCTACGACTCGATCCAAAGCTCAATGGTGGCTGCCTGCTCAGGCAGCACCCTCTCCACTGTTGAGAGGGTGTGGAGAGGGTGCTGGCTCAGGGCTGGCGTCCCCGAAAGGCACGCGTTATCCTTCCACGCGTGCGCCCGTCTAGTTGTCCCAACACAATTACGACGCACGTTGCCATCTTAAAACAGCTGGAAAACAGTGCGTCCTACACTTTTAAAATCAGGTGTTTGTGATGTTAAATGGTCACAAGTTATGTTTCTAACGCCGTGATCCACAAAATGAGACATTTCTGACAGTTCTATTATGACGATAGTACGTTTCGTACGTTATTCGTAAGTTTTTGAGGGTTCCCCCATTCCACAGTACGGGTTGCCAAAAGCGTTCGCTGTTGGGAGCTATGTTCGCATTGAAAATTGTTAAGGAAGAGCGGAATAATTTCGCAGGGGCGGAGTCCGGAGCGAAGGCGAGGGCGAAGGCGGAGGCGGGGGCGGAGGCGGGGGCCCCCCCAAAAAAAAATTGGCGGGGGGGTTTGGGGGGGGCCCCCCCCGGGGGGGGGGGGGGGCCGGGGGGCCCCCGGGGGGAAAAAAAAAATGCCCCGGGGGGGCCCCCGGAAAAAAAAATTTACGGAAAGGGCCCCCGGGGGCCGGGGGAAAAAATGCGTGGCGAGAGGCGAGGCATAGGCGGGGGCGTAGGCGGGGGCGGGGCGGAGGCGTAGGATGGGGCGGCGTAGGGTTAGGCGAGGCGGATGCTGGGGTGGGCGTAGGCCGGGGCGTAGCGGGGGGGCAGAGCAGGGGCGGAGGCAAAGGCGGGGGCGTTGAAATGAGAGCGACGAGCGACGGCAACGACGAAGGCCGACAACGGGACCGATAGGGGACCCGGGAGGTTTTTCCTCGTAGACGACGAATTTCAGTTCAGCCACCCCCTAACATTGTTCAAGAAAAATCACATTTTATAGAACGCACTTTTTTTTCGGCACTCTTTTTCTGCATTATTTCGGCATACTATCAGATTCAACAATCAAATACTCTTGCAAAGCATCCTCTTTTTGGAAGCGAACGCCATTAATGCTCGTAATTTTTCCATGCATAACTCTATCGTATCCTACGAAGTCAGACGCCCACTTCGCAATTGTCTTCATTCACTCGCCTCTCATTTGACAGACGCATGTTGGCAGATGGGTATTGAGCCCGTTTGAGAAGTATGCATGTAATTGGAACGCCCATCTCCGAGCAACTATCCATTTCATCACGTGGTCGTTTTGTTCAATTCTCTCCGGCTGAGAGACAGGCTCAAAGGAACACGCAGTGGGCGCGAGCGGTGACTAATGAGAGGGCAGTGGTGGTATGTGGGGCGAGGGGAGGCGCCAGGCGGCGAAGGTCGCGGCCCGGGAGTGAAGGCCGCAACAGAGCGCATGGGCGGATGTGTGGGTGCTCCGACCTCGCAGGGGGATGACACCAGGGTGACTATTGGGATGGAGTCGAGAGAGTAATGGATGGGGAAGGGGTGCGAGGGTGTGTACCAAAGGCGCAAATATAATTGGATTACAAATTGGATAGGGTTAATCACATCAGTGGGGTTGATGAAGGTAGCATATGGACATGGAGTGATGGTGTGCATAAATGCTGATGTATGTATGAAGCGACGAAAAGATGGGAGTGCGGCGGCTGCGCTGGTGGGTTGTCAGGGCTGCGGGGTGTAGTGGGGGCCTGACGGGGGCGGGAAAATGGGCGGAGGGTTGCCAGGAGTGGGTTTGAGCTTGGGGAAGCGGAAGAGGGAATGTAGCGGGCCGGAAGGGAGGCCAGGAATTGGGATGCGGGGGAGTATGCGAGGGGGGAAGCGGAAGCGGGAATGTAGCGAGGCTAGGAGGCAGGAACTGGGGTGCGGGGTGGCGAGAAGTATGCCCGGTGGGGCGGGGTGGGAGGATCTGGAAACGTAGCGGCAGGGCGCCGGGAGCGGGGGCCGAGAACTACGTTGCTGAAAGCGGGAAGCGGGCGGAGAGAATTGTGCGGGAGAGGGCGCGCGAAGCACGGGTGCGGCCGGAGAGGAGCGGGGAGGACCTGGAACGTAGCGAATGCGAGCGGAGAGATACCAAGAACAGGGTGGCGGGTGCGGGTGACCCGGTGGGACGGGACGGCGGGGAAGTGGGAGGTGAACCGGATGGAGCGGAAGGATGCTAAAACGTAGCGAAGCAGGGTCAGAGGGAGACGGAAAGGGGCGGCGGGTGCGGGAGACAAGAAGTGTACCGTGGGTGGGAGCGGGGAGGGAGGATATTGGGTGGATGGAGCGGGTAGGGAACTAGAACGTAGCGGCAGCGAGGCGGAGCGGGACCTGGAACTATAATAGGGTTCTGTGGAGATGGGGGGACGGGGCGGGTGGAGGGCGGGGGAGGGCGGGGCGCGCTCGTTCGGCAGCCGCCGTGCTTGTCACCGGGGGCGACTGTCCGCGCGGGCTGCGCCGCCTTCTGTATCGAACTTCGCCCCCCCCCCGCCCCGCCACGCCCCGCAGCCCTCGCCGCAGCGCGCGATCCGTCTTGGCAACGTAAACCCCCACGCGAGGTCGCTTTCTTCGGGTTATGATGCGATTAGCGCACGCAAACAGCGACGCCCACGCATTACTTCCGGCCAACTTTCTTATTGGCATGCGACTGAATTTCTACCTTTCCGCCGCCGCCTCCACGAATTACGGCGCTGAATTATGTCCGGATAACATGAGCTGTATTTTTAGATGTTGAAACGTGTCGTAAATATCCCGTGAGGCGTGCATCTCGCAAGAACATAGCAACGATAAAGATGAA